ACTTGCGCTCTGACGGTCAACGCGGGAAGGACATTTGTTTTCCAGCGGGCGAGATTTGGTTAAGCTTCTATATTTTGTAGTTGAGGTTTGCTTTTTAAAGAGGCAAGAGGGGATATTAACTAGATTGTAAACCCCGCAAGGGATGGGACCATAACTTTTCGCTACTGATGCCTACCCAGTGCCAGACACATAACAATCTTAGTTGAATAAATGAATTATTAATAGAATTTGAAACTTACCTAATCATCTTTTTAAACATTTTTTTTAAATTTTGGAATTCATTTTAGATTTACAGAAAAGTTGCAAAAATAGTACAGCTCTATCTCTCTCTCCCCTATTGTTAAAAATAGCATGGTGTATTTTTATAGAAACTAAGAAACTGGCATTAGTACGTTATTCATAACTAAGCTGCAGACTTTACCTGAACTTTTAACATGCTTTTTAAATTGCACACCTTCCTCCCAATCTGATAAGGGCTTCCCTCTCTCATCCAGCACAACCTCTTCATTACACACGAGGGCAATTTGAGGCCCCGCGAAGAAGAGGACTTGCCCAAGTCACACAGCAGAAGTGAAACTAGAACTCGCTGATCCCACAGTGGTATGAGAGGTATCCATGTGGATGTGCTCCTTGGTGGATGTGTGGGTGGTGGGTGGGGGAATTGGCTGCCACACTGGTATCACTGGGGCCTCATTGGGAAATAAGGAGACTGCAAGCCTCCCTTCCAGCATCATTCCTTCTTCATCTTTGCACCTACCAAGGCCCCTCCACCCCATTACCCACTTCCTCCCAACTCCTAAATACTCCTTCTATCAGCCTAAGGCACGCTCCTTCACACTAGAAGTCAATGATCTTGGGCAGTAAAAAAATAGCACTTCTTTTACTGCCCAAGCAACCTTGTAGGACCTTTCAATGAATGGGCACATTCCCTGGAGATTAGAGTGTCTGACATCTCCATCTGAAGGGCTTTGGGGGAGATTCTGGAAGGCCACAGACAGTGACTGAAAACTAACACTATAACCATGAAGGAAGGGAAAGCAGAACACTGGCTTGTTCAAAGTGCTTGCTCTAAGTCAGGCAGATCCAGGCTTGCATCCTGTGAGATCCTGGTCAGGGCTTTAACCTCTCTGGCCTCAGTTTCCTCATTTGCAAAACAAGGATTAAGATAATAATAATAACAATAATAATAAAACTGCCTTTCAGTACTAAACTGTTTGCTTGTTCAACAAATACTTACAAATTCAACAGTTGAACAATATACAGACCTTGTCCCCACCCCCACATAATCTAAGGCCTATTCAAGAAAAGCAGTCAGCAAGTAAAGAAATAAACAAGACATTATTCAAGAGTAATAATACCAGAAGACAAGAAATCAGGTTAGACTAATTCAAAGTGCAGTGGGTTGCCTTCTTGAGTCTAATAAGAACTCTCTGAGAAGGTGGATTTTGACCATCCTTAGAAATGAGAAACATTTGGGGTAAGAGCCAATGTGAAATTTAAACATGGTCAAGCACATGGAGCCATGGTTCACAGCCAGGGCTGGACACTGCAGTCCTCTGGGGAGCCTTTAAAAATCCTGACGCCGGGTCACTCTCCAGACCAATTACATCTAAATCTCTGGAGGCGGGACACAAGCATTGGGGTGTTTTTTTTTGTCTTGTTTTGTATTTTAATCCCAGGTGATTAAAATGTGCAGCCAAGGTTGCCATCTACCTGGCATACAATAGGTGCACACCAACATAAAAAATGACAACTGCTAAAACAAAACCCTTGTCCTTGCAGAACCCACATTCTAGGAGTGATGAGTTGGAAATATAGAAATTGTTGTCACTCTAATGTTCATCATCATGTGTTTCCTGGAGGACTAACCGAGTCCAGGAATGACATGGCCCAGGGTGACCTAGCAGCCATGCTTGTGTGTGGTGGGGTATTGTTGGGGATGCTGATGCTTCTAAACGCTTCTAAACGCTGGTGTGGTGAGTGCCCTGAATGTAATGAAGAGTGGTTAGCACCTCAAATGCACATGAATCAGGCACGTGGGTCAGATGTAGCAGTCACAGACAAGCAACTGTGGAGGAGGGAGAAACTTTCCTCTACTTCCTACGTTCTTTTGGCTGGTCTAACAATCAAATAGACATGAGACAGATTAGCAAGAGAAAATGAAGACATTTAATTACATACCTATGCATGGGAGCCCCACATATATGAGAGGTTCAGAGACAGAGAAGGACTACTGGGAAAATATGACATACTGAGCTAAGGATAAGGTCATTCACGGGGTAAGAAGGACAGATGTTCAGTAATTAGGTTTTTGCCCTGTCCTATATATAGGTCATAAAAAGTTATTTCTGGTGATAATTCTTTGGGCAAGGCCCCAAATTTAAATTCTTTAAGAGAGGTGAAGGTTTCTTGTGAGCCCTTGTCTTGATTGCCTTCTGCTCTTAATAATACATAGACCAAAGTGGCTCATCTTGGGGAGGCCTTTTCTGAACTCTTTCAAAGCTGATGGTGTAGACATGAGAACACTTGGGTACTACTGGTCTCTGTAGGGTTTCAACCCAAATACAGCCTGGATGTCTGGTTTTAAATCTTGGTTATTCTGCCCCACTAGCTCAATCCATAGAGTATAAGACTCTTAAATTGTGGCTATTCTTTTTATTATAATTTGCAAGAGGAAGTGTTAAAAAACAAAATTCGACTGAGTAAATTTGAAGATCTAATGGCTTTATCAAGCTATTCATGAATTGGACAGCATCCCATCTAGCAACTAGAAGGGCTCTCTGTGGAGTTGTACAAAACGATAGGTTTTTATAGGGAAAAGGGTGGGACAAGGGAGCCATTAACAAAAGTAAAAGTTTATTTTTTAGACCAAGACACTTGAACCAACCGAGTTCCCTGCCAGGTCTCTCCAAAGTCCCTTTCAAATTTGACAGTGTGTGCGTTGTAGGCAGTGGGAACAGGCACCAGATGTTAGACCCATGGGTTCAGGCTGGACTTGGATTCAGCAACCTCAGTACTTGGGTTCTGGCTAGGAAAGAATTCAGAGCCAAGACTCAAACTATAAGAGAACATTTATTTATAAAATCACAGAGGTGGAAGAAGTAATTTGTAAACTAGTTATAGAGGTAAAGGGAAGGGCCCTTGGAGCTTGGGAATGAGGAAGCTAATGGTAATGTGCTTTGGGGAGGAGGGGGAAGGGGGAGGGGAAGGGAAAGGCACAGGCATGTTTCCAGGAGGGAGAGCGTGCTGGGTCCTCTGTCCTAAGGGTCTTAAGGGTGGCGATTTTAGGGGAGATCCCAGGGTAAATCTTAACAATATTCAGCAGCTTTCCAGGTGTGTCTTTTCAGGGTCTAAGTCTCCACGGATTGATTGGGCTGCACCATGGCAGGGGGGCATTTTCCAGTGCACCAGGTCCTGAGGTCAGCCTCAGTGTCGCTTGTCTGGTTTTGCTGCTTTTCTGGGCCTGGAGCTGAAATACAACAGAGGCCTAGATGTTATCTCTAGGGAGGAAAGGTCAGGGGGTCCAAACCACATGACTAGTGATATGCTAAGGGAGAAAAGGTAACCCTGCAGGGGAGGTCCCACCCTACAATTGTCCTTTGCTAGGCACCCAGGGCTCTCTGCCCTGGTGACCTTCTGTACCTGGCCCATCATCCTTGCTCTGCTCATGTCTGTCTAACTGCCTACCACATGTGCATATGTATAAGCTCTAAAAGTGATTTCAATCTTCTCTGATTAACCCATTTTTGAGAACAAGAAACTGCAGCCCAAGGCCACCCAGCAGAGGAAGGATTAGGACCCAGGTTTCTGACCTCCCAGCTCAGGGCCACATCGCAGGGCGTGATTGCAGAGCTAACAGGAGCACCACTCCCTTCTCACCTTACTCTTCTGAAACCTGAGAGCACCTGGAGGACTGGAAATGCCCTGGGGAGCAGGGGCCGTACTGGTCCAGCAAGACAAACAGGGCTGGGGAAGGTGCCTCAAGAGCAGCCTCCTCCAGCAGCCTCAGTCTGAGGGCAGGAGGTGGACCCTGTACAAGTTTGCATCACTTTGATTCCCAAATATTTTCCTCTCATTACAGCCTTTGCCTAGAGCTTTGATTCTCAGTGCAGTCTACACAATGGAATCACCTGGGCAGCTATAAACAAATAACCTAGGAGTGCAAGCCCAGGCTACACCCCTGGGTGGGACAGGGCATCAGCATTTTTAAAAGTTCCCCAGGGAATTCCAAGGTGCAGCCAACATTGAGAATCACTGGTCTAAAGCAGCTTTTATCTAATGGTAATATGCATGCAAAACACCTCAGATTCCCTTTAAAGTGCAAATTATGACTCAGCAGGCGGGGCTGGAGCTCAAGAATTTGTATTTATAACAAGCTCCCTATGAGGCCAATGCTGCAGGTCTGAGGACCACGGAGAAGCAAGCATCTGAACTAGACCCACTTCCTCCACCATTGAGTGGCTGGTGTGGGATACATATGGAGTCACTATTTTCTCCCAAGGAAGGTGTCTGGTGAAACAGAGCAGAAAAGGCAAAGCCTCAGTTGTTCCCAGGTTCTCATGTCTACACCCCATCACCTGGGGTGTAGAAGCGGTTCAGAACAGGCCTCCCCAAGATGTGCTACTTTGGCATGAGGGTTGTTTTAAACTGAAAGCATTTGGAACCCTGTGGGCTCATATTA